GAGAACAGATCCCTGTACGTAGCATGGATTTTTATACTCACTTGCAGTGGGGCTGTCCCCGCACTGCAACCATGAACTGCTCCTTTGTGTCTAAGTGCCAAATTAAAAAAGAAAAAAGTTATACTGACCCCATACTCCGAGCTGGCTTGTTCTTAGAACGGTCCATTCCTCCTCTCTCCCCTTCCGCTGCAGCGGTGTAAGGTCCCATAAATCACGACACACACACACACACACACTTCCAATTCAGAAGCGTAGGAGGAGACACGTTGGAGGGAGAGCTGTGGCAGTTGACCATGCTCGGAGCTTTGGGTGAGTATAATTGTTATTTTAGACAAAAAATGAGCAGGTAGCCCTTGCAGTGCGGGGGTTAATAAAACTTTCCCGGAGTTCTTCTTTAAACTGACTTGTTGCGTCAGGTGGTGCTTGCTGGGCTTCCCAAGGCTCCCATTACGTCCACATGAACAGCAATTCGCCCAAATTCGAGCTTTCGGTCCCCCCTTTTGTCAAGTCAACAGAAAGTGGAATGTCCCCAAAACTTGTTGCCTTGGTCTGCCAGCCGTCCTGAAGATGGGGGATGAAAGAGGGGAGCACGCCCCTAGCAAGGTCTGGTCCCGTCTGTTGCTTATTCTTCCCATACTGGGCTGTGTACACTGCGCCGTATCTCCTGGGTTGTTCATATCAGGTTGCGCTCTCTCTCGGTTTAGTCTGCTGTTGGGGTCACCACACACATTACAACCAGACCATACAATTTAGCCTTTTTAACAGGCCCCCGGCTCTAAAAGTAAACCAATGACCATCCAGTCACCATCGTCCGCCGGGCGCACATACGAGCCATTCATCGGTCTCGGGCGTCGTACAATCATCTGAGGACTTGCTCATTTTCTATATAGAAGCCGGTTTGTGTTGGCGAATTATCTCATTTATAATTATTAGAAGGGAACGTCGTTGTCGACTCTTCTCAATTTGCTTTTACAGCCGGAGCAGCAGAAGCAATGAAACTAATTAGCATCCGTGGGAAAAAGTTCACAGGGGAGGTCTGGAAGATATAGAAAAAACAAGGCGCGTGCTCGGATTCTCGTATACGCCAATCTTCAAATGCGTCCTAATGCGGCGCAGACCTGCCAAATAATGCAAATGTGACTCAGAGGGATGAGACGGTTCCAAAATCTTAATGGTCCGACTTCAGAGCTCAGCACTTATCACCGTACCGAGATTTCAGCCACAGACCGCCGTGCCACGCTCCACGGGCTTAAACCCTCGCCGTGCCAAGCTCCACGGGCTTAAACCCTCGCCGTGCCAAGCTCCACGGGCTTAAACCCTCGCCTTGCCAAGCTCCACGGGCTTAAACCCTCGCCTTGCCAAGCTCCACGGGCTTAACCCTCTACATGCCAAGCTCCAGGGGCTTAACCCTCTACATGTCAAGCTCCATGGGCTTAACCCTCTACACGTCAAGCTCCATGGGCTTAACCCTCTACACGTCAAGC